TCATCGGACAGGTAAGTCACAGATTACCAAACTGTAACATCTTCATCGGACAGGTAAGTCACAGATTACCAAACTGTAACATCGTCATCCGACAGGTAAGGTACAATGTACCAAACTGTGTTTCAGTTTGGTAGCAAAAGAGATTGACATGATATTGTGCCGCCGAACTGTTTTTATAAGACACCAGATTTAATTCTTTATCATCGAATTGAGCCGTTGTATTATATGCTAAGAGCTTTAAAACAAGTTCAGTGTATGCGTTTTAAATTATTCAATTAGGGTGTTTTTAAATATGATTCTCCAAGAGGTTAAAATTTAGAATAACAGTATCATCTTTAATGGGGCCTGTTCAACCTGAACTGTGTTATATGATCATTTCTGCTGACTGATGTTATAACACGGTAAATGATTTTACTGTTTGGGAAAGCTTATATAACATTATTTTCACAATGGCAATGCTCTAAAATGTTTTCCGGTGTGATGCCGTATGAAATGATATATGTATTTGTAGAGCGAGGCACCTTTACTTATTCAACCATTCCTGAAGGATATGACAAATTCGGAGCTTCACGCTGTTCTGACAGGAGGGTTCGCCACTATAGCCGGAAGTGTCATGGCGGCGTACATAGCGATAGATGTAAGGGGCTTTTATTGTTGTGCATCCCAACTTTACAAATCATGGTCTTCATCATTGTCGTGAGCGTAATTTGATTAAATGCCTTTTTAATTTATTCGACAATGAATAATAATGCTGTAACAAAGTTTAAAATCTGCAAAGTGGAGGTGATAGCTACAGTGTGGTTTATTGGTAATTTGTATTTGACAAATATAGTGGGAAAGAAGATAACTATTTATGTTCGTATATTTCTTACAAACAGATATTTTTGTTTTAATTGTCGATCATCTCCTAAATATTTACAATTATTCGGCCTAAATAAATCATGATTTATCCAATGTATTATTTATTAATAATTAACTAATCGTTTGTAACATTTGAGGAAGGTTGAAAACCTCATTTCATTAAATGTCTTGTCTGTGATGGGGTCTGACTTCATCTGTTGGTCCTGTAATTCTTCTGTACGGTTATAAGTACTGTTGGTGTATGATTGACAGGTGCCCGCTAACCATCTCTTGTCCGCCTCTGTCATGTCCGCACCCGCCGCCCTGGCTATGTCCAAGCTGATATGTCCGGAGACTGAGGGAAGCAAGTCTGACCCCGAGAAGGTTTATAACATGGAGGCGAGGTATGTAGCTACAAACCCGTACACAAGGGCTTCATATGTATACCATTGATATAATGAAGTGCTAGAACTGCTTGAAAATTTCCTTATGAAGGTGCTAAAAGGTCATTTAATTCATGTTATTTTCTGGATTGTGCTGAAAACAAGTTTCATTTGTTTCTTAATGCGTATTTAAAGGGAACTTATTCTTATAGTCGACACAATGAGACCATCATAAGCATATTGATATTAAACTGGAAACTGTTCGTTCAATTTACGGAACTATACATATTTACATTAACAGCCCAGAAAGGAATGTTATCGAAGCTGCTTCAAATGGCGCCTCCCAGTCCATCAAGCTGATAGCAAACATTGCTGCGAACCTGATTGCCTTTATTGCTGTTTTGGAGTTTATCAACGCTACGCTTGATTGGTTCGGTTCACGTGTAGGACTGGAGGAACCTGACTATGAAAGATTGACATTTCAAGTAAGTTCGTCATAACATCCTCGTGTCATTACTAAAATGATTATTCAATGATGATGTAAGTAACTTATGTTAAGCGGGCCACGTAGAGGGAACCAAAATAGCAAGGATACTATTGCTTCTAGGTAGGTCTCTAACGGATTGCTGAGCACCAATGACATAGCCTTTATTGTTGACACATTACAAGTATCCCCGGAGATACAAGAGATACTGCTGCAGGTCACATCTGAACCCTACTACACTGTGTATCAACATTTATGTAAACAATCCTGTACAATGTTCAGATAGTAATTGATACAATTCGCACATATTTCGTTCTACCAAACCTGCAATCTTTCTATGTTGACAGCCTTGCCAATTTTTCAAATCAGTTTTAAGATTCATCTTTCAGAATAATAGTTGCGATAATTCGTTTTCTTATAATCTGTGGTTAGGACAAAAAGATGGCGTTAACCCTGTATGATGCAGTGTAATTCATTTTTGGCATACTGTATCTGTTACAAACTTTTCGAAGGTGCACTTACCTGTGTGTGCGTTACGTTCATCTGTATGTGTGTGATACGTTCATCTATCTGTGTGTGTTACGTTAATAACTTTATGTTACGTTCATCTGTGTGTGTGTTACGTTCATTTCTCTGTGTGTGTTACGTTCCTATTTGTATGTGGTAAGTTCATCTGTGTGCGTGTGTGTGTGTTACGTTCATCTATGTGTGTGTTACGTTCATCTCTGTGTGTGTTACGTTCATCTCTGTGTGTGTTACGTTCATCACTGTGTGTGTTACGTTCATCTGTGTGTGTTTCGTTCATCTGTGTGTGTTACGTTCATTTCTCTGTGTGTGTTACTTTCATATGTGTGTGTTACGTTCGTGTGTGTGTGTGTTACGTTCATCTGTGTGTGCGATACTTTCATATCTGTATGTGTGTTACGTTCATCTCTGTGTGTTACGTTCATCTGTGTGTGTGGGG